CTCTCGAGAAATGATAGGTATCAAATGAATAAATGACACAACTGAGATAAACAAACATGTATTTTGACTAATTTTATTAAGGTGTACTCAAGACACTGACGTAGCTCATTAAATAGTAAACGACTCCCATCTCCATTCATTCAACAAATTTGTATTAAGCTTTTATTACGTGCCAGGCACTATTCTAGGTGCTACAGACACATCAGTAAAGAAGAAAACGGGACAAAAATCCTTGTCCTCATGAAGCAGGAGTGAAGAGATGACAATAAAAATGCAGAAGTGAATTTATGCGATGTTAAAAGGTGATAAGTGCTTTGGAGAAAGATAAAGCAAGGAAGGAGAATAGTGAATGCAGGGGACAGGTGCCGCAATACTAAATAGGGTGGTCGTGGAAGGCCTCACTGCAAAGGTGGCGTTTGAACGTAATAGTAAAAGAGGCTGGGGAGCAAGCCACATGGCTATCTGGTGGGAAAGCATTCCAGACAGAGAGAAGAGAATACGCCAAAGCCCTATGCAGAGACCAGGCTTGGCATGCTCACAGGAAACAGTCCTGGAACAGAATAGGTGAAGGAGAAGAGTCACTGTGGGAGAGGAGATCCAAAAGTTAAGGGGAGATAGTGAAGTGGTATAGGGCCTTGTCAGCCATTGGTAAGGACTTTGGCTTTACTCCGAGCGAGATGGGAAACCACTGGAGGCTTCTGAGCAGAAGACAGCCACACATGACTTAGTTTTAACAGGATGACAATGTGTTCGGGATGCAGAAAGGAAAGGATAGACAGCAATGCAGTTGAAGGCTATTGCTTCTTCAGGCAAGAGAGGAGAGTGGCTTGTGCCAAGGTGTTAGACATGGAGACAGTGAAAAAGGGTCACACTACTCCTTGGATATAGAGACATGAGCGGAAAGAGAAGAATATGATGGCTCAGGGATTTTGGCTTGAGCCATTAAGAGAATGGGATTGCCATTAACTCTTACAGGGAAGACAACATAATGGACAAGTTTAGTTGTGGAGAAGATGCTCATGAATTCAGATTTGGAACATTAACTCTGAAGTGCCTATTAAACATCCAGGTGGAGACATTGGGTGGAAAGTTGGACCTGTACAAATCTAAATTTCAGGGAAGAGATCTGAGCAGAAGATATAAATTTGGGATTCACTAGTGCACATGATGGTATTTGAAATCTTGACATAAAGTACAGCAGTGAATACACCTAGGGAAGAGGTCCAAGGCCTGAGCTCAAAGTTCATCACAGTAACATTACGAGGTCAGGATCAAAAAGCAAAACCAGCGAGGAAGATTGAGAAGCAGCAGCCAATGAGGATGAAGAAAAGTGAGAATCTGTCCTATGCTGGAAACCAAGTTAAGACAGTGACTCAAGGGACGGGGAGCAATCGACTGGGTCAATGTTACTGACAGGCCTAACAAGATCGTTCAGAAGTGATCACTGAATTTAATAACATGGAGATTACTAGGATCTTGGTGGAATGGTTGAAAAGAAAGTCTAAATGAGCAGCTTTAACACAGCATAAGAGAATTGGAGATATTGAATATACACAACACTTTCAAAGAGTTTTGACTGGAAAGGTGGGGCAGAAGAATGGGACAGTGGCAAAAAGAAGAAGTGGAGTCCATGGTTAAGTGAGCTTATTTTTTAGGCTGAGAATAATGAATGATCTAGTAAACAGGAAAAAAAGCTAATGAAGCAAGAAAGAAAAAGAGAGACTTGCTGGAGCCGTGTCCTTTCCTAAGTGAGAAGGAATGGGATCAGTGGGCAGGTTAAGGGACTGAGCATGCATGAAACCTCGGCCACTCTGGGCCAGCAAAGGAAGCGAGGTGGAAACTGCAAGGTGGGGACACCCAGTGGCAGCGCTGGTGGATGTTTCTGATGGCTTCCTACTGCACCGAGAAAACTGAAATGAAGTCATCAGCCGAAAGCGAGGCTGGGGGAAGAGGTATAAGCAGGTTTGAGCCAAGAGAAAAGGAGGGAATGGTGCCTGCAGGAAGCATTACGGGTCTACTTGGGATCCCACACACTGCGCGATACAAATTCTTGGTTCTAAAACTGGAAAGTTGTCTAACCTATATAGTATTTTAGAAAAATCAAAACCTATTAAGCTAGAATTATTACTGTTTCATGGGGTTGCATCTGACCAGTCAACAGAAGAACACTGATATGATACAAAAACTAGACTGTACCGACCGCGAGTAAATAAGGAATAATTGGAAAATTCTCTCTCTCTACCGCTGCTGACTTAAAATACAAGTCTTTGTTCATATTTTTTACAATGTAGACATGGGCTGTTATGGATTGTTATCACTGTGTTTAACTAAACTATAAACTTAGAGCACTATAAACAGAACACCAGCAGGCAGAGGTACAAGGCAATGAGCATGAGCGAAGGTGAACCAAAACTACTACCCACAGCGGCAGATGAGTAGATTTCAGCTCTGCTCTCGCTTTCGTTGTATAGAAAAGCTCTCGCATGGTATGATCTAAAAACAGGCATCAGCCCATGAAGCATGAGCTTTTGCTGCACCAAACTGTCTCTTCCTTTTTATACATGTAGAGTCTTTGGCAAGATACCCTTTCTAAAGCT